TACTGTTATTTTGTTATTAATACGAATTAAGTTAATAACTATATATTTTATGTATTTGTGTGTGTTTGTTTTTATTTTTATTTATTTATTTATTTTTTTTTTTTTAATTTTTTATTTTTTTTTGCATAATTCACTGCAATTAGATTAGATATTAAATATAACATTAACTTAAGTTCATTCGCTTGAACGATTGTACAAATAAGAATTCTTTTTTTCCCTTTCTTTTGCCCTTTTACACTAATATGACCGATAATGGTGAAAAAAAAGTCAAATGTAAAGTCAAATGTGCATTCAATAAACAGGTACCTACATATATATATATATATATATATGTACGTATAAATGTAAGATTATCTATCATCAAACCAACAATTGTGCGCTCTTGCTATATGATTGATAGTTGGTCAGCGAGTTTTAGTTTTTTTGCTATGTACTTTTATTTTTAATTTTATTTATTTATTTATTTATTTATTTTATTGTTGTTTTTTATAAATACATTTATAAAAAGAAGAGTAACAAAATTAAGAAACATATATTCGACATAAGCCGAAAATTTATATTCATTAGCTCAATAATCTATTCAACTCCATGTAAACATCAGTATGTATGTATATAATTTAAAAAAAATAAATAAATAAATAAAGAAATTCCGATAATGCAGGCTTATATACCACATGTCAAACTTTAAGAAGAAATGGTCTGTATGAACGTGGAAACCGATATTCCCCAAAATAGGCATATCAAACTGAAAATAGGCAGGCAGCAGCTAAATAAATAAGTACGTCATGCTGTTTAAGCATAGAATGAATATCACATATTTGTTCAGATATTTTCAGATATAGAATGAATATCACATATTTGTTCAGATATATTCCTTCTTCTTTTTTCTCTGTTTTTTGTTTTGTTTTTTTTTTCCTTATAATAATAATATTTTCAATGAAAGCGCAGACTCGCCAGTTTGGACATTAGCATTGGTATGAAAAGACCAATAAAGCGTATCATAAAAGATGATTTTATATTTTTAATGTTCAGTTTCACTAACTAACTAAAGAGAACTGCAGTAGTACTAATAGTAGTAGTAGTAGTAGTAATAGTAGTAGTAGTAGTCGCTAAGCATCGCTAAGCGATATAGCAACATTATCACAAAACTTGAGATCAATGGGCAAGCACACGATTCAATTTCATGAAATTTTCTCTTACCCCCGAGCAGGCAACGCAATCAACATTTACGATTTTTTTTTTTTTTTTTTTTTGCTTCCTAATACATCCATGTTACATTACATATGTGTACTTAATTAATTACTGAATTTCGTTTACAAGAGAGCACAAGAGTGTTTATTGACGATATAAACGGGTTTCGGTGTTTTTACCTTTTAAAGAAAAAAAAAAAAAAAAAAATGTAAAATAAGCGCAAAGCATGCATTAAACACTAAATGAAACAGCAAATTTATGACAAATGATAATTTTATATAATTTGAAAAAAAAAAAATTCAAAATCAATCAAAAAAAGTTACGTTCGATTTAAAAGTCATGTGTGCCTTCGCTTTTCACATTTTCTTTAATCAAAATGGACGAGAAAAAGTAAAAAAGTGTAACTTCTATCGATTCATTTGCAGACGCCGGAATAAAAAAAAAAGAACAAAATTGTTAGATGAAAACACTTGAAAATCCATAAAGAAAATTTACTTTTTTTTATTCTCAAATCAAGAAAATCAATCGATCAATATTTCATTTTCTCACACCTTCACATTATGCATTTAGCAAGCCGATAAATTTACTTCAATACACATATTGACCAATGACTATCGGTTTTGTTTTCAGTTATTGAATGGATAGATTTCTAACTGTTTCTAACGTTTTAACAATGTAACATTTTATATGCCTCCTGTTTTTTTTTACTACTGAAATACATTCTAATTGTCATTCCATCGATAATTACTAATGGAAAGCTAGTTGAAGGCCTCCTTCTTTGCAAAACAAAATATTAAATAAAGCAATATCTCGTTGGCAGAATTGTATTTCGTTATATATCTTTAAGAGTTAAAAAAGATCTTACCCGCTATTAAATTAATTTACCTTTGACTACCTATCAGAACCTGCTTTGATCGCTTTATTAACTCTTGCTGAATTGCTAAATTGCTAACGCATTCACAAGCAGATTGACCAGCAGCATTATCATTACTAAATTATCTCTATCGATTGACTTCACCACTGCTATTTTTATGGGGCATGAATTATTTCGTATAGATTTGCACATTACATTACACTTTTTCGTGGTATCCAACCAGCCGACCAACTAAAATTAAAAAATATATCTGTTTAGTTAGCTTCACATATCACACAATTACCAAATCCAGATATCAATTTATATTATAAAACAAAAAAAAAAAAAAAAACAAAGAATAAAAAAAAAAAAAAATTAAAGCTGAAATATACATAAAATAATATCTACCGTAAGATAATTATAAAAAAAAAAAAAAAAAAAGCTTAAGAGCTAACCGCAGTAAATACACATATCTTCACTCATTGAAGGATTAATTTTACAACAATTTACATGGATAGAAAAATGTGTACGCGCCAAATGGATAGAAGGCATGAGAATGAAAGGAAAGGAGATATTCTGTTTCAAACAAAAATGTTGCCACACAAAAAAAAAAATTTGTTTTTTTAGCCAAAACAAAAAGAACATACAATAAAAACTGTGTTTCTATGCATGTGATTAAGTGATTATGTTTGTTTGCTTGTGATTGAAAGATATTTTGTATTTGCTCCTTATATATTCCTTAAGTATTGTGCGTAGATGGTTCTTCTTGAGGACCATCGTTTCCTTTCTTCGCGCAACAATCTTTTGTATCTAAAACGGCTGTTTCGATATCCTTAGGCTCAGTTGTTTCCGTTGTGCTGCACAATTTTTGAAAACTATGTATCGTTTCTTCGTTGACGGTGTGTTCCGGGGAAATATTTTCTTTAATTTCCTGTTTTACATCGGTGGGTATAAGGCCGGCATCACACTCAATAGAACCAGGACATCCAGTACAAGTTGTTGCGCTTATACTGCTACTAAGAAGGCCAGAGGCACTGCATCCAATATTATTGACTGATGTTGTCGTAACAGTTGTAGTTAATGTGGTGGTAATCGCTTCATTGCCAAATGATAAATTTTGTCGAAATACTTGTTTGCTGAAGTCACGAAATTGTTTAGAGGCTGCATCCAAAAACGATCTAGATTGCTCTGCAACTGCAGTACTTGCAACTGCAGTTGTCACAGTTGTTGTATTCGCTACGTCAACATTGCCGCAACTTGTGGCGTTTAATATGTCAGTGCTCAACTTCGTCCACGAAGGCGGAGATTGTTTACGCAAGGGTAGTAAACTTTTCGCCGTTTGCGGTTGAATCGCTAATGTAGTCTCTGCAGCATTCGATGTAGCTTTAAAATTTTAATTCTCTTTTAAACATTTATTGACACATACTTAACGGGTCAGAAATTATACTTACATGGATTTGTTTGTGTATTCGGCGCGGATTTAGATTCGGGTGATGTGCTGCGCTGGAAAATCGTTGTGGGATTGTGAAACAGAGTTAGAAGTTTGTCTACCGCGGTTGGATTTGATATCCAAGACACTTTCCGAACGCGTTGCGTTGACTGTGGTGTAACATTGTCCTCGGACGTGGATGCTGTATCCGTATTATCGATTAAAGAACTGCTTTCTTTAGTTGCTATCATTGATGCTGCAGCCGCATTGACCAACGCTTCATTCACTGTATTCTTCGTTAGCGTAATGTCGTTGTCACTAAATACTGCGAGCGGACATTGGCCAGATGCTACCAACTCTTGTTGGCTTGCAGCCTCAATGGAGGCAACCGAAGACACGTCACTGCTATCAACATTGCTTGCGGGCGAAGTAGATGAGGACGAAGTCGATGAGGAGGACGAAGCTGACAATGAAGACGAAGACGACAACGCCGATATTGATGATAATGTTGAAGGTGAGGGAATAATATTATTCGTTTCCGCGTGAGCGTCAACATTACTACTTATAGTAATAGTTGTATTTGTACTTTGTTCAGTTTTGATATCATTTACGACAGCATTAGGTGCAACAGTGTATTGTAAAGGCGATATGGTGGCGAGAGATAACGACGTCGTCGGAAGAGAATACGTGTTGGTAGTTGTAAACGTTGATGAAAAAGCAGAGGTCGTAGAAGATGGCACTAAATCTGGTAAATTATGAAGTACTTTAGTGTCTAACTCTACATTGTTTATATCTAGTTTAGGGTTTGTGCTTTCCTTTGTACCTTTAATCGCATTAGAAGCGTGTAGTGGTGTTATAGGAGGAATAATCGGCGGTACTGTTCGATGAGCCAATGGTACCATAGGATCCTCGTAAATTTTCTTAACATGAAAACGGGATCGCGGCGAAATCGACAAACGCTTAATAGATTGCGTTGACGAAGATATCGTAGTCATCGACGGCAAAGAAGAGGAGGTGGGCAACGAAAGAGTACTTAAAGATGGGTAATGTTGAGACTGATAGTTTCCTTCCGTCGCAGGTATTGAGACGCTGCTACTAGACGCCGCTTTCGTAACATTTCCACCAAGTGTTTTTTGACCCATTGGTGATGTGAGCGGACTAACTTCTACCACACGGAAAACTTGAAAGCGGCTAGCTCGGTTAGGAGAAGAGGAGGGCGACACAGATGGAGGACTGGGTACTGGGGACCGCAAACGTGTTCCTGGTTTGCGTTTCACTTCTAATTTACTGTTCGATAGTTGTGGTCCTCCCGTCACATTTTTATTAATATTCTCACCAATTGGTCGACCGTGACAGGTTAACGATATTTTACGCGATCCCAAATAATAACCTCCTCTTTTCCTTCCAACAGTATTGGCAATAGTCCTTTCAGCTTGCATTTGAATTTGGGCTTTTTCGTTTCGGGAGCACATAGACCGCACATTTTCTAAAACACGTGCATAATCCAAATGCGCATCGCTACCAACCGATAATCGTTTGGACTCATCGTCAATATCAATCTGAGTAATAGTTGTGTTTGATTTGAGCACTTCAGCAATTGTAGTTAAACTCTCCACCTCGAGTTTATTGTCACGTATATCAATACGTTGCAAGGTGCTGTTGCCGCCAAATGTCAGTATAGAGGACAATGTCTCTATACCTTTAGCACTGAGGTGCGCGCTTTGCAACCCTAACGTAGTTAACGTCGTATTTTTAGTGAGACTATCTTTAATGGACGAAACAAAGTCATTAGATAGGCAATTTTTGCCAATATTGAGTAGCTCCAAAGAGACTGTCTCCGCCAACAGATCCGAAATATAAAGGCCCGCCTCTTTTGTCAGATTGTTATTCCAAATAGACAAGGCTTTTAAACCATTCGGAGCACGATGTGTACTCTCCGTCAAAACGTCCATCTGCCTTTGCTGACGTGTTAGCGTATCATTTTTAGTTAGCTTTTCATTAAGCTGCGCCGAGGAAGAAAAATTTATATCGCCGCTGCCTATACTGCCATCCAAAGAATTTTCGCTACTCAAACTGTCCGTGCTTTGAGAGCACGTTCGAGAAGATTGAGTTAGAAAGGCACAAGAAGACTCCGTTCGCCGTAAGCCGCTACTAGAACCGCCCGGAGATGTAGAAGGTGGAGGCGGTGTAGGACTGCAAGTGGGCATTATTCCGCCAATAGATTTCGTTTTTAAAGTCATATTATCTTCAGAAATGGTAACTTTAGGTATATTTTCCTTAATTCCTCGAATAGGTTCGACCGACAAGTTCGTACTTTCTTCTAAAGAACCAAAATTTAATTTAACGGTGGGCGTTGCTGTCGTAGTATCAGGAAGCGAGGTGGACAGACAAGAATTACTGGCAGACATATTCACGCATCGCTCACATTCTGCTAATTGCTTTTGTATTCTTGCAAAAGGTGGATTAAAAGGCGTTAGCGTGCAAGCAGTCGTTGCACTTACTGCTGCTGCTATTAAACACTCATTCGATTCAGAGGCAATAGTCGCCGTTTCTATAGCAGGTTCTTTTCCTAAAACATCCAGCCGAGAACTCTCTAGTGATGTAGATAAGCGGGTAAAATCTTCAGGCAAATGTCGACTTATATCACCTTCGGAGGCACTTTCAAAAGCTGAATCCGTACTGTGTGTATCGTCGAAATCCTCAATTATTTTTGTATTTTTATTTACATCCAAAGCTTTGCTGGCAGAATGATGCTGCATAAGAGATTGATGTTCCTTAGAACTAACATCAGCACCACTTGAATGTATACAATAGCCTTCTTCTGCGGCTACTTCGAATATTTCCGACTGATCGCTAGCGGCAACAATATTGTTATTCAATCGATTGTTTTTTGGACTAGTGCTGTTATTTGTTAGGTTATTGTTTTGGCTTTCGGAAATGGTATCTACAGTTGATGGTCCTAACGTGACTGAAATGGAGCTATCATCCCTTCTACTTTTGTAATCATCCAATGTGTCTAATAACACCATTGAAGTGGATTGAATTAAATTGGGACATGATGCACCAGTTGGCTGCATTGTAAATGGAGCAATATTGCTTTCTTCTGATGTTTGTGCTTTAATATTTGCATTTGTGTTTGAAATAGAGATGTTTGTTGTCGCATCAAGTATATCATCTGAAATTAGACTTGTATCTTCCGAGCAACAAGCTGCTAATGTATCTGTGGAAAGGTTAGAAGTTCCATCTTCACTGCTGCTTTCACTGTTCATTGATAGCAATTTGTCTAGCATCGATTGGCCGCTATTTTGCGAGGAATTCTTTACGGTGCTGGATCGAATTGTATCTTCGGTGTCCTCGTCTCCATCGATTTCTTCTAATATGGATGGATTATCCAAAAATTCTCTTTCATTAGTTCTCATATCACAATCACCTCCTCCACTCCGCACATCACTTTGCGATACTTGAATTTCGCTCTCAATGCTTGAGACATAGTTATCTTCATCTTTTTCGTCTCTAGTTTCTAATGGCTCAGGACTGCTTATATCACGTGACACTCTATCATTAGATTTCCATTCATTCTTACAACTTTTCAAATCATCTTGGAACAATGGTTCTGCCTGAAGCGCGCTGTCATCATCATCGATTGCTGCCGTACGTTTAAATGTACTACGTCTCTCCAATTCCTTCGACTGCATAATTAACGCCATGACAATATGACGTAAGCCTTCGTCTCTCATATTATTATTGCTTACGTCGATTAACTCTAAGTAGTGATTCACCTTTAACAGTTCTGCTATTGCATCGGCATCATTACAATCCAAATCGTTGTAACCCAACCAAAGCTCTTTCAACGTACGATTATGTCGTAATTTGAAGCCTTCATATATATATAAATCAGTTCAGTGATGAATAACTTGTAAAAATCAAACGTACGAAGTGAACTTACTCAAATTAGATAAAGGCGATCCCCGGAGGCCGCAATGTTCTAATTTTAACGTATGTAAATTTGACGTGCTTAACGCACTACCCAAATTATCGGCACTCATTTTTGAAATTGGATTTCCTTCTGCATTAAGCACCTGAAGTTCCTGACTGTGACCAATCATATAATTGCACGATACCCATCCGCGATGAGTCATACCACTAGGATTCGACGAAATATCTAATTCATTAGTGGCCTCATAATATTCTATCATTTCAAAGATAGCACTTGCTGCCGTCTCATCCAATTCACAATTTGAGAGGTCGATTGATTTGTACTGCACCTGCAATGATAGCCAAAGCAATTGAAATTGAATTGTTTTTGTTTAAGCCGAGCAAAATAAGAATAAATGATAAAAGAATCCAAAATGTCAGTATAGCCTAATGCAATTATTTATACAAGGACTTTTCAAAATAAATCCTTATATGGGATAGTGCTCGAAAAAATGATCTGATCCGAACGATTTTCATCAGCGTTCGTCTTTAAGATAAAATACGTCGGTATACCAAACTTTGCCAAAATATCTAACAAATTGCAATTGCTTTGAGCGGAAGACAAGAAAACAAGCCGGACGGAGGGACAAATAAGCTTAGACCTATTCAGAAAATGATTTTAAATCGATTGGTGTAATAAAAGGCGGATCTCTCTCAACCCCTTCTGGGTGCTTGCATACGTTCGCAAAAATTGAATATACACCTATACCGCAAATGATGCCGACTATAAAGAAGCAATAACTTTGATTAGCTTTGAAAATTACAACGTTTTTGATTTTTGTATTTAAATTACGGCCTGGCTACCAAAAGTGGTTTTTAATATATGGTCCCTAAATTAAATCTTTTGTTGCCAAAATTTCGCCCCATTTATCTGTATTAGGCTAGCATCGTATCATCGCTAGCAACACCAACGGAAATAAGCCATACGGATGCAGATAAATCCATATTCGGCCTAATCATATTTCGAAATTTAAAAAATATTTGTCCGACAAATGTTATTGAAACACAAACTCAAAAAGTGTTCGATGAAATACAAATACAAAATTACGAGTTATTATTGGTTTACCCTTTTAAAAACTTCTTCTAATGCTTCACAGTCGCTTGGTCTGAGTTTTACTGATTTTAACGACAGGAGCGGTTGCCTCAATTGATTTTGCAAATCGACGCCTTTAAGATGTTCCAAGACGCACTGCAAAGGTTTTGTGTTGTGCTTCTGACACGACGTCACATATAGTTCGGCAATTTCGGATATGCTTTTAACCATGCATACTGAAATAAAAAAAAGTAGATATAAAACTGTTAGTTAAAAATCGTCGGGCATTTCTATATGCTTCGTTATGTCTGTAGGGAGTAAATGGTTTACTAAAACTTATTTTGATTATCGTAAAAATACACTAAATGCCTTATAAAGCCGGTTCTATGGAATATTTTATAAATGTGAAAAAATGCGGGAAATTCCCAAAATAAAAACTTTTCTTTTTTACGAAAAGAGGGGCCTCAAGGCATTTTTGCAAAGTTGGAGTTGCAAACGTTACGAACATTTTCTTCCAATTAATTTATGTAAGAGCAACTGGCTACACAACAAATATACGATACCAAAAAAATGTCACGTCAAAAGTTGGTCTCTGCAATAGGAGTCCAGATGTCTTATTTTTCCAAAAAAATACAAGGCGATATTATAATAAAGAAAGATGTACGCACAGGGCCGGACATCATCAATAATATATACCTTCAGAATAGTTTATAACATAAAAACTGTCAATTACTATTCGTCCATCTGTCCAGCAACTTCTGTTTTTGTTTAGAAGGCATACAAAGAAAAGCATTGTTCGCTCATAAGACAAATCAATGATGAATAGCTTTAATATTTTTAAACAGTTCAGCTATCGTTATAGATGAAGTCAAGAAAAAGTTCTAAAGAGTAGTTGAACGTAATATTTAAAATCTTACCATGTTCCCAAGGATTTGCAGGTTCTAAGTAGCCGGTTACCAATTCGTTATCGCTTTTGGGAAAAGAAACACGCCTAGGCAACGATACTGTACTAACTGATGTCTTTCGTGTCAAATTTGGTGAAGCCGACTCACTCATGGTACCAGATTTGACAACACTGCTATATGGTCCAGAAGTGTCTGGTCGCCAACTGGGACTGCTTTCATTTACAACATTGTGCTGATGAGTTTGACGTAATTTCAAACCAAATGAAGGGTCACTGGATGTATGCGATATGTTAAACTTATTCGCAGTTGGTAAGGGCGGTAATGTCGTTGGCGTCAAAGACGTAGACGTATGAGAGGAAGTTTTCATCAATGTCACACTTTTGTTAAATTCACATTTGAACACAGGACCACCACCATCTATCGATTTAGCGTTTACCGTATCCAATTCTGTGAAATTTTTATTTTCAGTCGCAACATATTGCTTCTCATCAGTTGATGACTCCACTGACAGATTGTCTCCAGCTAATAACAATTTCCCTTCCCGAATCGATATTGTGGTAGGAGGACAATCTATAGGTAATTGTGCTTCAATCGGATTGGGGTTATCTCCATTACCACAAATTGGAACACCTAATCTAAATGTTTCCGACAACTCCATAGATGGGTTTTCATCAGTTTTGAAGTCCTTCGCTGGGACTTTCCCAATTAGATTAACGTTTTGATATACCGCATTATCTCTCTCTATCTTATTGGCGTCCTTGCTACCGGTAATTGCACAATTGCCGCCCTCAAGTTCGCCGTCATTGTCAACTTTTTTTTTATTGTCGCCAATCGGGCACTGTTCGTCTACAACTCTGTGTTTGTATGTTATTATTACTCTTTCGTTTTCATCCAATTTTTCATGGGTCCTATTGAAATTGCTTGCAGCTGTGTCTTCAGCGTTTTCAACTTTAACTATTGTTGCTGTTTTTGTTAAATTGGTTTTTTGTTGATGTTGATTGCTTTCGCTTACATTCCCACTATCAAAACTGCTCATATTCGCAATTTATTTTATTTTATACTTTCGTCCACGTATTCAATCTGCAATTAAAAATATATATATATATATATATATTTTGTAAAAAACATTTATTTCTTTCCTTCACGGAAACATCTTATACCGTAGCTAGTGTAAACTCTAAGCAAAGTTTAATCATTCTGATTGGATTGTTTTTTTTTTTTTTTTTAATTTGTTACTTTCGATGAAAATGGAGCTTTTGTGTGATTAAATTTTTAACTATTTCAGAAACAATTGTACGAAAACTTCGAGACGCAAATATTACTCATCGTCTGTAGATTTTGAAATGTCGTTTGCCAAACCGGCGAATAGAGAAGTGCAATGGGTATGCAAACACATGAATGAAAAAAATGTTACGGTTACCAAGAACATACGGACCATATCGGACATCTAACGCGTAATTTTGGAGGTTAACAATAAAAAAAAAAATCCATGCCTCGGTTACTTTGCTCTCTTATTACGCATATTATAGTTACGATATCTTTGAGAAAGGGAGCTTACAGATAAGATCAACATTGCATAAAATATCCCCAAGTCATATGAAAGATGATTGTGTCAAAGTTTCTCCAGACGAAGATACGTATCTCTCTCTCTCTCTTTTTCACTGTCTCTGCAAATCACTTAGACGCTGGATACTTGAATCAACTTAGTTCAGTCTTATGAAATCAATCCTTAAGGAGGATGGGTTAGTTATGTGAAAAGTAATAAATACAACTTTGAAGCGATTTTCAAAATGGATAATTTTGAACCCTTCATCGTAATTTCGATGCTTAGCAAGAGTCGATTTTTTTCATCTTTCGAATATACATAATGTCGGAAATTAAATGAAAGCTGAAACATATGTCCACATTTTAGCGAGATATTCATTGCAAGTATTCATAAAATTCTATGTATACTATACATATATAAAATTTATTTAGTTTTTTTAGGATGGAAGGAAAAGGCATTCCTTTCCCGATACGAGTTCGAAAAGCATCGCAACTTGAAAGACGCATTATTTCTGTACGAAGAGGATGCTATGAACAAAGGTGGATACTGAAAGGCAATTGAAAAGAATTTTGATGTCCAAAGCTGGGAAGACCATTGATATTAATAAGACAATCGATGAAAACATAAATTGACCATAAGCTCAACGTCGCAGATTGGAAATGGGATGCCTTCTGTGCTTTGAGAGGAACGAAAGCAAATAAAGCAAAGAGCTGCCAAGGTTATTAAAGTTAATAAAATGAAGGCGTGATCCATGTTCGACTACTAATCGACGAAAATACTGGCGGCTACGGGCGAAAGTGGGTGTTGAAAGGGTATTGCAAACAATGCAAACAATGTGATCGTCAAAACTGCGACGACCTCTAATGTTAATGAAATCAAGACGACAATAAAGTTCAGCTCGCCGGCAATCGGCAGGAAGATAAATTGCCCGAAAGTGCTACATTGACCAATGAAAAATTTTGAGTCCGTTTGTTTTTGAAAATTACTTATTCTTTGCGAGAATATATAAAAGCAATAGGAACTTTGTTTTGAAAACAAAATCTTCCTTTCAGGAGTGAGAATAAATGAATACTAATTCCCTTTATACAAGGTGGCAAATTCGTGTAACATAAGGGCTTAGTATGCAGAACTAGTACTTTCAGTACTGTTCCATAAAAGTTAGAAATACGGGTGGATCGAGAAAAGGTTCTTTCTTAAGACTTGGAAGAACGACTTCATTCTTATAATTTTATTGAATAAGCACAACAACAAAAAAACCGTAAAAAAGCATTTCAATTAAACTTGGCAAACATACAATACAATATCGCACAAAATGGCATCCAATCACAAAAAGAAAATGATGAAACGTAAATCTCTTCTATTTAGCTGATGAACGTTACCAACTTCATTCAATTCTTTACTTTTTTCACATCAGTACATTCTATGGAGGGCTTCTTGAGTGATCTCGGAGATCAAGGTGACGAGTGAACAAAGTATATTTCGCTTTTGTGTAGGCATTTTTACATGCGTGTTAACATGGTTAACCAGGTGATAAACTATTTTTTTAGACGACGCAAATTATTGCAATAGAGCAGATGCAAAATATGAGCTAACGTTTGCTTAAAAAATGACATAATCCTGGTGAAACCATACATTGGTCAGAGATGTTAGGGGTTTCCTACATGATAGATATGACGTCATAGTTTACGCATCGCAATAATTCACCTATTCGACGAGCATGCATAATAAATATATGCGACTATTGAAGATATTAAACACTACATGATTTTTTTCCAACTGGGTTATTAGATCACACAAGAGCAGCACACTCTTCAAACAATACCGTACTTAAAAGTTATTGCCATCAAATATTTTTTGTTAAAAACAAGAGACTGTTCTTTTTATCAAATGAAACTTTTATAACTTTTTTAATGAATTGTACACACAAAACACCGTTGTATCTACAAGTCCATACATTTTATACATAAATATACATACTAATATATATATATACATATAACTTTATATACAGATGTATAGAAATATATATGTATATATGTATATATATATATATATATACATGTACACATATATATCAAGAAAATGTTTTTGTCTCTCATTGAGTTGAAAACAAAACGTCATTTACTGCCATTGAATTTTTTTCTTCCTCATTGGTAGAATTTTGTTAGATTTATTTTTCATTGGATTTTTCTTCTTTTTTTTTTACATACTTTTCCGTTGCTACAAAAGCACCGAATATAATAGCAAAACTCGTCTTTTTCTCTTTTTTTTTTTCTTACAAATTATTTTTGATAACCTTTAAGCAAACGTAATTTGTAACGTTGCAAAATCAATGCTACTCTTCTACAATTTCACATAGTTTGCACAGTATTTTGTAATTTTTTTAACAAATTCAGATTTTTTATGCATTATTGAACGAATTTGGAAATTTCTATCCAAATATATTAATTGTGCTCCTTCCTTTTTTTTTTCTATTTTACTTAGCTCAACACATACGAACAACAAAAAATATACTACTGATTGGAAAAAAAATTCTGTGTTTGAGTCTTTGTAGCAATTGTAGGACATTTCACCCCATTTTGGGAATAAAAGATTAATTCAAAATTGCATATGTAAAAGATTAAGCCATTTTAGCAGCATTGATGCTCATAATTTAGAAACAATTGGCAACACTTCCATCTTTTCAGCTGTTAATGGATCAGTGTGTTCTTTTACTTAATGTATATCAAATATGCTCTCTACTAACATATATACGTAAATATATACAAATGTAGGAGCTGTCATATTAGATACATATGAAGTAAATCAAAGGTGAAACCAAACATAAAAAAGAAGATTAATGATTAATGGCGCACGACATTTGAACTATTTTGCTAAGCAAGAGACGTTACGAAAATTGACGAGTCATATGGTTTTCTATGCGTACGAACACACAAAACGAAAAAAAAGGAAAGCAGAAGAAGAAATAAAGGCGGTTTATTTTAAATTTTGAATTGATTTATTCACTTTGTAGCAATTTAAATCTCTCTTCTATTATGTAATTTCAAATTGTGGCTTATACTCTATAATTATTATATAAACCACCATTTAGTTGCGTATCGGTTTATTTTCAATTTATACACAACCATTTAGTTGCGTGTCGGTTTGTTTCTAATTTAAATACACAACTATTTAATTGTGTTTCGGTTTATTTTCAATTTTTACACAACCATTTAGTTGCAGTTTTTGGCAAAACTGGGCACACAAACTAAACGTGTTTCTTGATCATCCAGGCCATTTTGCAAGGTAGTGCCGCATTACTCACATTTACCAGCGAGGTAAAGTAATTTTTATACAAATTATTGAGAATAAGCGTATAAAAATTTGCCGCCAACTGAAAATAAGCGTCTATGATTCTCAATAGATTCTCACATTTGTGGGCTTTCTGTTATAATCTTATATTGGCCTTATAATCAACAAAACCAAGGCAGGAAAGAAGAATAAGTTTGCTCTGCCTACAAACACCCATATAAAAGACAAGAAACTGAAGTAATCTCGCAAAAAAACGGCAATTTTTTCATAATCCAAATAATTTCAAATTCGACGTATGTCAGCGCCATTTAGGAGCTCCACAAAAAATGGTCTCGCTCACAAAAATTGATTTGTTCAAATATAATAGCTATTATTATTATTATTTTTATTTATTTTTTATTACTATTATTATTTTATGCAATTATCTTATAATGTTGGCAATATAGTTAAACCCATTACTTCTATAGCAAATGCTGGCTTCCACCCCATCATAGAGCTTGCATCTTTCCCAACCGATCCAAACCGGCCCCTTGCTTAGAACGTTCGTGAAAGTTTTAGTATCCGCGTCAATGGTGACATTATTATTGGTCTTATCATTTTTTTTAACCTCATAGCTTCTAATAATCCTTAATGCGCTATCTTTTAAACTGGGATTTTGATGCCGCAACTAATTCACAATGTCATCATTTGCGTCCTTATATTTAATGTTGAGTAGCTTTATCCGTGGGCATATCTTTTTGGATATTTGCAGGTCACGCCCTTTAGGCATTGACTTCTCAATCCGCTTCATCGCTTTCACTCGCTCGCACAATGTCTTCGACTAACTTTTGGTTTGACAATATGTGGCAATGGCAATACGACTTTTAAATTCTTCCAACATGTTGCTAACTTTCATCTCATTGTTCTTTGATGATTTTTGACATTCGCCACAAAATTCCTTCCATATTCATCCCATCTTATCAACCTCAGCTTGAATATCCCTCAATCCCAAATACAGATTGCGGGTATACGTCAAATACTGAGATATCGTTGGAGTGAAAAAATTATATAATTTTAATGAATTAGAGAATTAAGAAGAACAATAATAGGAAAAATGGAAAAATGTCCTTAATAAACAACCATAACACATGAGCCAACCGAAATCATTGTTTTGAAGCACCTTTATACGGTGCGGGCCCAGAACGCAACAGACGCGCATGGAGTTGAACACTCTTCCAAAAACTCTTTGACATCGAACTCCAGTCGAGCGACGTATGGCACGGTTGCGTTTAGTAAACTTAACGCTTAACTCTGCTATAGTCAGTTACAGATTTAAGAAAATGTACTATACGCACTGCACCACCAACACCCCATCCAACGCCTCAATCATGAAAATGATGGCCGGGACACCGCTGTGGGTCAATAAATCAACTTAATTTAATTTGTTTGTTAGCGACTTAATAGAAAAGTGCTTTCAATAACCATGAAATCTGCGCGCACCTACAGGCATGTAATACATATAACATGTCGAATACGTTTTTAGTAGTGTGCATACCATCAGCTGTATTTGTCAACGTTACCCTTGTAGTTCAACTACAGATTTGTTCAATAGAGAAAATAATGATTTTCCACCAGTTATAAAAAATCACAGGCAAAAAATAACAGCATTGTTTCTCTTCAGTACTTTTCGGTAACTTCAGTAGTAGTAGTAGTAGTAGTAGTCAGCTGATGCCTCAAACGCTTCCGAAACGTTTTAACTGATTGCCTTATTTCTTACTTCTTATAAAACGCAATCTTTGACAAAAGAACGCTTTGTAGACAGACGCAAGTAATAGACGAGTATTGAAAACGTTTATGTTATTCTAATTATTTTATCAGTGTTGACGAATTTTATCAAAATATTAATTATAAAAAAATATAAAATAATAATAAATAAAATCAAGTGCAATGGGTAATGCTGACAATCCGTTTGCTGCTTTGCTTGCTGACTCTAAGGCTAATATAAATAAGGAACTTATCGAGGATATATTTTTGTTTACATTGCGTCCGCAAACACGAGAACGTTCGAAGGAGAGAGCTTTATTATGTTTGGCCGATGTAATTGTCAATGATAGTAGTCCAGAGACGGGAATGGGTGAGGAGCTGTTGTCTCACGCCGTATTCGAGCGCATTATGTTAGGGAATACAAGGGAGTATCTAATACCTGGGCTAAACGAGGAGGACGCCATACAAACGGATACTATTGTCTATTTGCATCGAGCTTACATTGCATGTGAAGAATTTAAACAACAGCGCAGTAATCTTGCGGCAGATTGCGATGCAATTCGCACGCTTATAATTACAAACGTTAGCACATGTATGCGACAACCAGATTTATTTCCTGGTCGTACAGTGTGCGAACAGTGGCGCGATATAATTAATATCTCTGAAGAATATTGCACCCGGGAAACAATGGATTTTCTTGTAGAATGTATTGCAAAAATTTACATTGATGAAGAGACTCTAGAAGCTCTGGGAGCATTAAAGGCAAACTTTTATCCATTGTTGGGGAAGGTGCAAACGGAAATAAGCCAAGCAAATCTTGTAACTTTAAAGAAAAAAATTTTTTGGCTTCTCAATTTCTTTGTGAAAGAGAAACGTACCCCACAGATGGGTGAAATACTAATTGACTTTACCACACCCAATCCCAATGCAAATGGTAAGTTATTGGTATAATTGTGGAATATTTTTTTTTAGAACATTATTAAAAATCTTTTTTGTGCATAAATGAACAATAGGTGCAGCTTATATGGATACCTTAATCGGGCAATTATTTTCCATATCGATTTTGCCGAAGAATCAGAACGGTCCTTATGAATTCTTTGGCGATTTCACCTTAGATTCGAGACACACTGATCCAGCTTTATGGGAATGCATGGCAAATCATCAAAACTCTTTGTTTATGCTTATCAAGCAATTATTAATGCAAGATGCCAACAATAAACAAAAAATGTTGGAATGGTTCGCAAAATGTTTGCATGCAAACGTTTCTCGTGGCCATTTGTGGAATAATCTAAATACAGGTTTGGATAATTTGTTAAAGCAAAACGCAAGCGACGCCTTTGTGATCGGTCTTACATCTGTGCTGTTGAGGCTATGTACTCCTCTTTGTGAACCCGTGCTTAAGGTAAAATTGTTGTTTATTGTATTAAATCAAACCGTCAGAAATTTATAACGCATAGAAATGCGCACCGAAAGAATTGTAAAATTTATAAATTCTTGATTAGCATAGATATCAAAATCGATATAGCAATGTCCGTCTGCCTGCCCTAACGAAGATCGTGAAAGTTTGTTTAGAAAGCAAGTCCAATCTTTTTTGGTCGTTAGCTTAAATTTGAAAAACACTTGGAACGATCTCTCGAGCCGCCGACAATCAGCATGTGTCTTTTTTCTTTACATAATCGTTATTACATCAAATATTCAATATGTTCGATTGTTATAAGTAATTCATTAATTTCAATAGAAATGTTGTATGTTTTAATAAATGATTTGAAAAAAATTTTTGCTTTTCATTAGGTTCTCCTGGTGGACCCAACATATTGCGGTGTTATTGAAGATGAGCGTCAAAAAAAATCGGTTAGCATGTTAAAAGCTTACGAGGAAACGTGCCTTCTGCCGGTTGAAGAGAATGAGAAGCGTTTAACAGCCGACAAGTTCAATTTTGTTACAGAACTCTTCTTTCTGACTCATAAAGCTTACGAACTAAGCTACAAAGCTAGTATTGAACGATTCATTCAAATGACACGCGAATTGCACAACATGCAGTCAGCGTATCAAGATGTGATTAATACTGATCCTAATAACGATTTTGCGAAAAATCTGCTGCGAATGCTTAAAGAGCAAATGCAACCATATTTATGCTTATGCAATTGTCTAATGGAGCCTGAGAACGATACTGCTATACTTAAATTCTTCGAAGCTTCAGCTATATGGCTAACAGAAATTTCTTTGATCTCAGCGGAGAATTATGCTGGTTGTGTGAATAGAAGCGATTTTGCTCCGCATACGCGTAACAATTTTGAATTGCCGGAGGAAATTGAATTTACGCCACGTACCTTATGTTCTGTACCCGAAAGCATAATTGACAATATTGTAACATATTTAAATTTTAGTCGACATTTTCCATCGGGACAGTATATACAAATGTACCCGTCGTCGCATGAAGCATTTTTTAAAATGATAATACTTTTTATGGGCAGTTCAAAGTTGGTCAAAAATCCTCATTTACGTGCTAAGCTAGCGGAGGCTTTAGAGTTTTTCTTACCAAAGCGTGCAACGGGAGCACCGTTTCAGACCCACATATTCGACTCGCATCCGGAACGTTTAAAAGTAATTCCTAGTTTACTTAACGTTTTTGTTTCAATCGAAATGACTGGACAATCAGTGCAATTTGAACAAAAATTTAAATATCGTCGACCGATGTATGCCATCATGGAGTTTCTTTGGACAAAAGAGGAATACGTTCAATGTTTTCGCAATTTGGCCGTCGAAGCCGAATCCAATATGGAAGCCATTGAACCGCCAATATTCTTGCGTTTTATCAATCTGTTGATAAACGATGCCATCTTTCTTTTGGGTAAAAAAAAATTAAAATTATAATTGAATTATATTGTTTTTATGCTCACTGATTATTTGATACCGTTCTAGATGAATCACTTGAAAATTTACAACAGATACGGCAATTGCAAGAGGCTCAAGCGAACGGTGAATGGGATAATTTAACTGAAAGCGAACGTCAACAGCATCATTCCAATCTGCATCAATTGGGCAATTACGCCCGTTTCGATAACATTTTGGGTCGCGACACCATAAATCTTCTAAAATTGCTTACTACCGAAATTAAAAGCATCTTCTGTCATAAAAGTATGGTCGATCGTATAACTTCGATGCTTAATTATTTTCTTTTAAATTTAGTTGGCCCTCAAAAAGAAAAATTCAAAGTGAAAGACAAAAAGGAATTCGAATTTGATCCGGCAAACACAGTATTAGAGATTTGTCATATTTATATCAATTTAAGTAGTAGCGATAGTTTCTGCTTAGCTGTTTCGCAGGATGGACGATCATACAGTTCCCAATTGTTTAGCTATACCGAAAACATTCTTATACGAATTGGCGGTGGTCAGTTAATTGGGGAAATGGCCGAATTTGCGGGAAAAGTACAAAAGATGGAAAACCAATATAAACAAGAGCAGGAATGTTTAGCTGAAGCGCCAGAGGAATATTTAGATCCTATTATGTCGACTGTAATGACAGATCCAGTCATCTTGCCTAGCTCAAAAGTAACTGTCGATCGATCTACTATAGCCCGTCACTTGTTAAGCGATCAAACGGATCCATTTAATCGAGCCCCTCTGACCATGGATAAGGTCATACCCAACGAAACTCTTAAAAATGAAATACAAACATGGCTAGCCGAGAAACGTGCTGCTTGCAGTAACGAAAATTTAATAAAAAGTTGAATAGCTTCCTTGTAATATGCTTTTTATTACGCTACCCAGACCCAAAGACATTAATATATAATTATAGTTGGATGAAAAACTTTTTCTATTTTGGTGTAAACTTACTTATAATTACGTGATAATATATGGGTTTTCGATGTTATTTCTATTCCGCATATTCAAAATTGTTTTGATTTTAATTTATCAAGTAAAACGTAAACGAGTAATGACTGTCGATTTCATATGCAAATAAAATCGTTTTTTTTTTTCCTCCTCTTCGATCTTATCATATTTTAAATAGAAATGATTAAAATTTATCATTTCTTATACACTATAAATATTACTGATGAATTTATATCCAAAAAAAAGCAACAACTAATAATTTTCGTGATGAACAAATCTGATATATGAATTCAATGGTTCATAATCTGCCATGAATTGTTTCAGGTCATTTTTATAGCTACCACTGTAGGACGGGGGTGTAATCATTTCGTTCTTTTTTCACCCAAAAGGAAGCTGCGGAGACCCCACAAAGTATATATATATTCTTGATCAGCGTGAAATTCTGAATTGATTCAACCATGCTTGTCCGTCTGTGTGGTGTGCGTTGTTGGCACTATCCTGGTCGATTTCAAATTTGATAGAAACTTTAGAAAATTTCTGCACGCAGACTGGTATTGAAGATGGGCCAGAGCAGAGGCCCACCGTGAAGCGTTAACGGAACGCAACCCCGCTTTTGAAACAAAAAAAATTATGGATTTTTGCTCGTTACTCGGAATTTATTAAAATTAGAAGACTAAAGGTTTCCACATTTGCGTGCAAAAATTGGAAACAATCGGCCATGCCCACACAAAGTTACGAGTAATTAAATTTGACTTTTTTCGCTTTTTTGAGGACAAAATGTTTTAAAACTATTTCGCACACCCCCAAAAAGGAATATATATAGTATCTGCCTAAACAGCTGACATATTTGGTCGCAATAACTATGGTTCGTGATGCTGACTTACATAGTGAGATGACTTTCTGGAAGAGTGAAAGGTTTGTAACCTGAACGGCAATCGCTATAAGAAGAGGCCTTGCCGAGACAAACGTTTCACTCGAAATGAATCTCAAGATAGGAATTGGAATTTGAGTGTCATTACACTGTATCGTGTTAAGATCCTATCTGTATTTTTTCTGCACGCATTTTGGAAGGTTACAGAAGGCCGAAGGAGCAAATATTATTTTTAAGCAGACTAGAAATTCATAAATTGTTCGGGCATTTTTTTCATTGCATTGATCTTATAAGACTTGACACTGTCGCCAATAAATTCCTTTATTCCTTTTCTTCTTCTTCATTAATCAATCTTAAAAAGTTTATTTACTTTTAGATTATTTTTTGTATTTTTTATGTCAACCCCTACTACATAGAGGTAACTTTGTTCACTTTTCAAAACAAAAGTATTTTAACTGTACATTCATAGAATTTGTGCAGATTTCCTTTAAATTAATTAACAAATAACAAGAAATTAAAAATCTTTACTTAATTTACTATTTTGCAATCGGAACTTTGCGTTGTTTAAATTGTTCAACATGGTGTTTAGCAATTTTGTACGGTAATGAATTTAAACTCAATAAATTTGTATTCAAAGCTTGATTATAAGCTTTTAAAAGCGATTCTTCCTCTTCAGCTGGTTCCAAGTATGCCGACAAACCACCAATTAGTAAGCTTTCTTCACAATTTAGAAAACGTAAGGCGGACGCATAATCGGACCATACTCGACGTCGCCACTTGTGATCGTATTTTTGAGCCAATGGTATCATAACCAAAGAGCTAAATAATTGATCGCCGTAGCTAACCGCTTGAAAGTGATCGATGAACAGGGCATATAAATTCTCAAATTTACATTTACCTGGATACACGGCATCGAAGTCAAATTTTATATATTTGCTTTCTGCATAGAACTTTAATAAGTGCTGATGTAACATTTCGTGTATATCTCTATCCAAAAAATTCGAATCTGGGCCCATAAAAGCGATCATTAAGTACATGAGCTTTTCGGTAGGCGCGACAATGTGCAATTCTCGATTACATTCCTCCAATTGTGTAACGAAACTTAAAGTCATTTGCAAGACTTGACGTTCTGAAAAGACCATGGACGATTTTCGTTGAACATTTTCCAAAAATCGTTGCAAAATTAAACGTAATTGAAAGTAAGGCCAGTCAGGCGGTAAAATGGGAAGTTGACTAAACGGTAAAGCAAGACTTAACTCATTGGCATGCACTACAATATAATGAGGATAAACTAATTCCAGACATGTGTGGCGCCACTGATCAAGAATCTCTTTACTTGCGTTGATGTAATACGGATTAAATATGATCTTCTCGAATAGTTGCTCAATTTCTGATACATACTCGGCAGTTAAACAGCTCAAGAAATTATAAACAATTTGTAACATTTCCGAAGTTTGAAAATAAGTTTCAAGCCCTTTAAAACACAACAGTTGATGTGTAAATTTCAGCTCCATTTTTGCAAAAAAATTTGTTGCTAAATAGCGATTACAACGCACACTTATTGAATGAAGAAATTTCACCAACGGCTCTAAGATAGCCGGTCTTAAAAGAGATTCAAATATTATTTTGTTATTACATTCCAAATACAGTTCCATTAAACGCCATAATGAGCTAAGAAAATAAGTCGGATATTTTTGGCTAACAATTAACTGAGGGCCATATGGGTGCATTGTAATCGACCCAACATTGGGTAAGGGCTGATACACATTTCGACGATCCATTGAATCATGAAGAATTAATGACGAGTGCACTATGTTTTCCGTGAATTTTTGAAAACTTTCACTTTCAATGAACGCCTTCACATATTTATTCACAAAATTATGAAAACGCATCGGATCAGAATGATGTTTGTACCAAATCACCACATTTAAGCAGGCGTTTAATAAGGTGGCTTGGGAAAACTCCAGCACGCCAGCTCGTATAGCCGTATGAAACCATTTACAACTGCAATCATGCAATACATCGATTAATAAACTTATTGCTTCACGGCCTACTGGCCCCGTGATGCTTGCTACACATGCAAATATAGCTGCAGCGTGTTGCCGTATTAAGTACGGACCGCCTTCCTCATAAATGAGATGATTGTAATGCCATTCGAGCATATAACGTAAAGCGGGTACAAATTTTCGAAAACAAAAGTTATCGCTTGCATCGTGGTCCATTCGCAGTAACAAGAGGCATTTCAATATTCGTAAGCATTCAATCTGAACTTTAATCAATTGATTCTGCAGATCATCACGACAGGAAAGATAGTTCTCTAAGACATCAATTAATTTTGAGTCGCAAAATTTGTTAGCAATAATCAGTTTCGTGGAAATCATAATACGGAACAGTTTCAAACACAAATATTGTGGGCAGCCGTATAAAAGAGATGATTGTTTTTCGGTGCTAACAACTACTTCCAATTTGGGTAAAAAGTTTTGAAACAAATACTTCATTAAGTCAACGTCATTAGCAATTTTCATAGCAATTTCTTCGCCAGATCTTGCCAAACGTATTAACATTTTAAAGCATGATATGACACAGCTGTTGTCGGGCTTAACAGTAGTTAATATATATCGAATTCTATGTAAAGCGTTTGTACGCACAAACCCCTCTATTAAGTCGGTATCGCATAACTGAAAATCGGTCATAAAGCTCTTACTCTCTTCTTCATTTTCCTCTACATCAGCCCGCATGAATGTCTCTCTGGACGAGTTCGATATTTGCAATTGCGTAAATTGTTTTTGTAAATTCTCTATAGGTAAAGAATCCTCGAGATCAGGGTCAGCTTTTAAAACTTGCAAAGTAGGCTGCCAATGGCAACCAGGATTTTCGTAGCAAAAGTCCAGTAAGAACTCATCAGTTTCATTGTAAAAGAGAAAAGCCAAAGCCTTAGCTACCACTTCCAAAATCGCTGGATTATTGTCATCGAAGCCGAATCGTAGTAAAAAGAAAATTTTTGTTATCGGCAAATCTAAGGTCTCATCATAAAAACCCTGTTGATAAATGCTAAGCATTCCGGCAATAGCGCTAAAAGCTGAGATGCGTTGTTGTATGATATGAGAGCGAGCTAAACGGAATAGTTCCTGTAGGGTATAACCGGGACGTTGTGGTTCATCACCATGCAAATACAGTTCACGTTCTTCCTTATCATCAGCTTCGTCGGGACTAAAGGGCAGTAATACACCTTTCCAATCAAATCGTGCCTCAAATTTTACGCCCGGTTTAAGTTTCAGTTTTTGATTGCGCACAGCGCTCATCCACTCAAGCTTTTCTTTCTCAACTACATCAAAATGTATCCATTCTTCAGCAGCGCCACGTCTTATCAGGGGTATAGCCGCATTAGACGGATGTAAATCGACCCTTGCGGCTTCTAGAGAATCGCGACTATCCATCGAATTCATTACGGCATTCGTATTTGTGGCCTCTTTAAGATGATGTAATCTCTCTTTATGTTTTTTCTTTAATAAAGCAATTATCGAAGGATCTAAGGATTCTATCAATTTTTGTTTTTCTTGTAAAATTTCTTCTTCGTTCATTTCTCTTAATATCTTCAAATTCTCTTCGAATGCTTCTCCTCCTGTTGTGCCTTCTTCAAGAACAACATCCAATTCATCCTTAGCTTGCCGTAAACTGTACTGTTCTGTTTCTATGGTTTCGTGATTTTCGTTTATACGTGTTTTTACATTTTGCTCCATTATCTGAGCGAATATACTTTTCCCATTTATAAAGGCTTTGGGAGTTGTTAATTTCATTTTCTCAATGACAGGAAAAGCATGACCTTCTTGACAACCTAATAAATGACGCTTAGGTTGCTTTACGACCCTTTCGACAATATCACCTATAATTGTGTGTGCAATACTATCTGTCTGTTGCTCCGCGTTCACTTCCCCTTTAATATTTGTTTGGATTTCATCCAAAATAATTTTTCTCTGGAGAGCATTATCACTTGGAACGTGGCGGTGTGCAGCTGACATGGCATTTCTTACGCCGTTTTTGTTACGACTTTTGGCGAATAATGATGATGATGGCTTGGAAGATTTTGATACTTTAATGATTTGTGCAGCTGGTTTAATTTTGGGATTTTTCGCTTGTTCTGCTAGAAACTCTTCCTGCATTCGCAAGATGTCTTTCTCAGTTTCTCCCCGTTTAGGTCTTTTCATCATTTTTTTACAATTTTTTTTGTGTTTTTCTCACAAAATATTACAATTCACTTGAAAACATATAAAATATTATTTTTAGCTGATTGTTTGCAGCTGTTTAGTAAGGTAAGGCAGGCAAACGCGGGTTCTAATGCGTCAACAATATGCATCCACATAGTGTCCTTTTCTTACACGCACAATCATGCGTTATTCTTATTTTCGGAATAAGACTTCAACTTTGCTGACTTTTTACGACACATTGTGGGAATCAGAGTTTGTATACAAGCAAACAAAATAAAAAGCGTACAAAGAGAAATGAAGACAATTTTGTTTAAATTTAGGAGTTATTTATCTGATTCATGCTTATTTATTACTATGCTAAATTTCCTTCATATTCTTCGATTTTTGGTTTATAAGGGTATGAAAAACAAGCAATAAATTCAATTGATTTTGAATAGAATTACCCCAGAGAGCGCGAAATTAACGTTCCTACTTTCGGAGTCAGTTTCTTCTTTGATTATTTAATTTGCTTTTATATATATTGTTCACATATACATCCATTTCTTTATATTTACTTATCAAACCATGTTTTCATTTACGGCAATTTCTTTCTTTGTTGTTAGTTATCATTCTCAACCTTTGGACTTTTTAACCCGAAAACAAAATAATGCGTCATTGTGTCAGCCCTCTTAAAATAAATAATAAGAGCAAAAAGAAAACAATCTATTCCTAAAGAGTTTCGATTTCATGGCATCCAAATACCGTGTAGATAAATTTGTCCTTACTCAACATGGAAAACGAGAATGAAGAAGTTTATTTTATTCAAAGTATTGCCCATCAAAAGCTACGCATTTTTTCCACCTTTCGGGCAAATTGTGGATTCCCTGCCAAAAAAACTGTTCGTGTTTTGAAGCAAACCAGGCGATAAGCCATTTTTCAACCTCTTCAAAATTACTGAAATGTTGCTCCGAAAGCGCGAGTGACATCGATGCAAATAGGTAGTGTTCTGATAGAGCCAAGTCAGGTGAGTGTGGTGGGTATGTCAAAATATCCCATCCTAGTGATTTAAATTCGTCTTTTACTGGTTTTGTTGTGTGGGTCTGAACATTATCATGAAACAAAATAACCTTGCCAAAGGTACGGACCAAGTCTGACCGCCTTTCAATCAATGCGTCGTTCAACCTTATCATTTGTTGTAGGTAACGTTGACTATTAACAACTTCACCGTGTCTTAACAACTCATGATACACCACACCTCTCTGGTCCCACCAAATACAAACCATTATTTTTCTCCCAAAACGATTTGACTTCGCCGTCGCTGTTGACAATTTCTTACGCTTAACGTTTTCAATATAAATCCACTTTTGGCCGCCCGTGACGATGCGATGTAAGAAAGATTTTCTTTCATACCTTCGAAGCAGCATTTCACATACGACTTTTCGATTCTCCATATGTCTTTCATTCAGCTCACGTGGCACCCACTTTCCCGACTTTTGGACCTTTCCCATAGCATGTAAACGTGCACTGATATTCGGTTGTGTCACATGTAACTGTTCAGCCATCATTTCTTGCGTTTGCGTATCGTCTTCATCCAATATAGCTTGCAATTCAGCGTCCTCATACTTCTTCGGTGCTCCTGGGCGGTCTTTGTCTTTCACGTCGAAATCACCACTTTTAAATCGCCGAAACCAGGTCTCACATGTTTTAATATTTGGAGCGCTATCACCGTAAACTTCCATAAGAAAACGTTGACTATCCACCGCTTTTTTCTTTTGATTAAATAAAAAAAGCAATGCATGCCGTAAATGTTCTTTAGTAGGTAAGAATGGAGCCATTTTCTATGATAAATTGTACACTCTCGCGAATTGTACGTTTACATTCCATACACGCTTTCAAAGTTTTATAAATATGCCAAAAAATCTCATAAACATCATGAGAAATATTAATAAGTAGACGCCATCTATTAGAGAAACCGGCAAGGACTTACTTATAAACTTCACATATGTAAATTATCCCTTGGGGGACTGACAACGCAATTGATTGTTTTTATTTTCAGATTAAACAATCTCTAGTGTAAACAATGCGAAGCCTCGTTACCACATTATTTTGTAAGAAAAGTTAAGCAAGAACATCTAAGTAAGAAACAAGGAAAAACAACGGTATAAAAAATCAACCTAAAAACAAATTAAATTTCTGATTATTGAAGTAGAAAAGTAAGAAAATGAGTTTAGAGGAAATTCAGAATTGAATTTGTCTGACGCAGTTGAATACACCAAAAGAAGTGCTTAAATGTTTTGATTTTAAAACCATATTTTGCATAATTATATAAATAGCTTCTATATTCAAAATAAACTGTCTTTATTTTTCCTTCGCGTTTTTAGCTTTTGGTTTTACTTGTTTGTATACGTACAAAACGATATGAGTTGCCTACTCTGGCAAAGTCTTGTAAATTTTCGGTAAAGTTAATATCCTCTGAAAATAGGAATAGCGCATCGCGTTTTCTCATAGTTTATAGATTGTAAAGCGGCGTCTTAGACGAAATATTTTGCTTTTTTGTTTAGAACATTTTTTATAAGATTGTCTTTTTCCTCAAACGCTTTGCGAAAATGGTGGTTTGGCAACTCTCCTACGCATCAGACTGGTTATTCTCTTCCAAATAGAGAGATAATGTTTTTAAAGTATTTAACGTATTTTTTTTAGCTTCTATTGATGGCTAAGTAAAGATATTTAAGAAAGTTTATAAATTGAAAACTCAATAGATTTTATGGATATGTCTGAAGTGCAAAATTTTCAATCGAGTGAAAATTGGCGCAATATTATTAAAACGTTTTTAACCATGGAAAGGTAAGAAAACAAATAATCATCTCTCAGTTTATTTTGCCCGCCCAAACAACTACAATATATATGAAGTAAAAAGTTACTTGTTATTAAACTACAAACAATATTTGAAATTTTAATCAAAAACCCCCACAATTTAAACAGAAAAAGTGCAACAAAACAAAAAAACGAAATAAAGGAGAGCGACCGAAGAAGTTTAGATATCGGAGAAGATTTGCAGAACATTTTGGAGGAAAGAACGCGGCAAATAAATATAAAAAAGAAAATGGAAGAATATCAAAAAATGCTCACTGATGAGACAGTGATTGATACGGAGCCTGGAGGATTAATGCAAATATCTAACGAAAGTTTTGAAGCTTTAGAGCGCATGTGTGACAAAACCCTTTCTGATCCAAATAATACAATTTTTAAATATATGAAGGCTGATAATAAGGATCAAATATTGGCTGCCATGAAAAAACGTGCTGATGGAAACGAGGCAAACGTGACCCCGCAAATGTTATTACAAAAATTGAAAGATTGCACTGTTTTGGATGAAATCGAAGCCCCGTCACACTTTTGGGATAATACAGTTGATGGCGAAAATGAATTTCAAATGTCGCCAGTTAAAATGGTGGGTCTGCTACGACCGTCTACAATAATGGAGGAGGCTTGCGAGGATTCGGTCCATTCGGATATATCATCTCCTGCCAGTTTCGAAACTGCTGCGAAATGTACTCTTAGCGGTATTTCTTCAGCTGGAACATATGGCACTGCTAAAGATTTCACTTGCGGCAGCAGTGCATGTTCGATTCCTGTTACTATTCAAAATCAGTCAAGTATTGAACCTGACAGAAACACATCACTCGTTTACAACGCAGACAATTTAACCTTTGTGGATAATAGCACTTTGGACGATGGAAGCAGAAAAAATGCCACTGTTGTAACTGCAAACAATAGGTACGGGCAAGAAGAAGCTTTAGAAACGGATTGTAATGAACCTAACTCTAAACTTCCGCAAATAAATGCACAGAGCCCTCTTGTGAACAGTGGTGAGGATTCTGATGAGTCAGTAATTGAAATCTCTGACGAAGAAAAGGATAACGAAGTGGTAGAAGCCAATATAGGCACAGATGAAATATCCTGTCAAAAAAACACTGCTCCGCAAAAAACATCGCAAATCCTTAAGGATATAAAAGCCGAAAGCATTATGAGTCTATCCTTCGAAAGCGATAAAGAAAATTGCTACGATTCAAACATTGAAACATCTCTCCAGTTCAATGACACTATGGAAGAAGTTGAATACATGCTTAAAAAAGGTATGGAATATATGGCATCAGACGGTATGCCAAAAAATAAATCAGATAAGACAAAATCGCTAATAAGCAGTCAATTTGAAAAGTCAGTCTTGTCGACTCCTAAAACTCCCGAAGTTTCTGCCACCCAGTCGTACAAATGCTCAATCAATAAATCGGTTCCAAAAGGTAAGATATTTAATGAAAATACATTCAATTTTAAAATATAATTGTGTACTTGTAAATACGCAGCCAAACCATGCGCCACAAAGTCGGAAGGAAAAGCCGTGAATAATTTAGCACGCAGCATTGCCAAAAAGGCGGATCGATATGCAATTGATATAAAACCTTTTCCTAAATTGGATCTGTTTGCTAAGCCAACAAACAAGCGTCAGAAGGAACTCTCGCATAAATTTTCGCATGTCGTTAGTCCAATTGGCACTTATATGAAAAAGACTGCCGTTACGCCGCTAATGGCCAACATAAAGTGTCGAAGAATGAAAAACGACGTACTTGACTCTACAGCATTCCAAGAACTTGAGAAAGAGTCTCGTTTATATAAGCTTCAGGTAAGTTCAAACGAAGGAGCTTCTCAAACTGGAGGAAAAAAAATAGCGGGACTCAATCCTCAATACAAGCCATTACCGAAGAAAGCGTACATATCATCGGACCGGAAACACGTGAGTACTATTAGGAAGGCTTCTCCCAAATGTACAAAAAGGTGATAATACGGTATGCCTTTCAGATAACGGATGAACGCACTCCTACCACAATACCCGGTGGTGCGAAAATACAAAAATATATTGAAAGTGCTGTCTTGCCGGCAGTTGTTCGACACGAGGGCAAATTGAAAATGAATGCAGCTGAAGCCTACAAAGCATTAGATAAGAACGTTGACTTAAAATTGAACAAAAAGCCTGAATCAATGAATGATATCAAATGCCGTACAAATGCCAGTTTGGCAAATCTATCTGTTATGTCTGGCGATATCTCCGTATACACAATTAAGGACGCTCAAAAGTTGTAGACGGAGACAGCGATGAATATTTAATTTAAAATATAACATCCTTTTTGACTAAAATATTTAAGTAATTTTTTTTTTACGCCACTAATGGTTGATTACACTGAGAATGGATCTACGCTGCCATTTTCCGCCGTATTTGAATTCTGAGAGAATAAATTGTTTGCGTAGAGAGAGGAAGAGGGAGGGTTTTGGAGCAAAGCAAAGAGAAATTTTGAAAATTGCGGATTTTTTTCATTTAGCGACTTATTTTGAGAAAGTCGTCATAGTGGAAGTACTTGTATAAATAGCTCGTCCTGGATCGAAATATATCAGTGCATCAAATTTCGTCAAAATATCTAAAAAATTGCAACCTTTAGGTTGAGCACAAAGGTGCATACAAAAACTGACAGACGGACAAAAATCGACTTAAGAAATCATTCTGAATTGATCGGTATAAAAATTATGGGATTATGCCAAGTTGTTTCGGTGCAGTATATTAAAAAAGTTGGGATCAAACATGAAGTTGCTCATAAACGTTTGTGCGTCTCTAGGAAGCGCCGTGGGAAAGAGTTGTGAAAGCAGCGTTTTGCGTTGATGCTCGGACCCGTTAAAATTTTCAATAGCCACAAATTTTCCAGCAGAAAAATGCGTATTATATTTTAAGATCATTACTTCTAATCACGAATACTTCCTTAAATTTTAGAATGAATATCTTCAACGCGTGGTCACCAGACGCGATTTACTATTCACGCGCATACAAATAAAAAAAAAAGAAGGGAAAACTGAACTTTTTGGTAGCAAACGGAACTTGGATGGAAAACAACAATTATCTTTAAAGCTTGCTTAATTTGAAAAGTTTGCAACGATTATATCATTTTGCGTCAAGGACGACCCCCTTTAAAAACCGATTCTGTAGACACGAATTTCGAAAAAGAGATTTGCCGGTAGTATTTCAAAGTAGTGAACGGATATGGATAACTGATGGAAGGAGATAATTTTTTGAAGCCTCTTCTATATGCATTTTCTTATAAAAAACAAGCCCTGTATAGACCAATTTGAGCCAATTTGTAATATTTTATGATCAAAATTGATCCAAGCAAGTGGATCTATTTAATATACATATATATATATATATAAAGATCCTCTAAGAATATTTTATGGCGAAAATAGTGGCATGGCTTATGCAATGGTTGGTTGGCCTGGCACGACGTCTTATATATATAATAATATATATAACGTCTTCATTTGTTTTCAATTATAAACTTTAATTATTGAGTTTCTTCGTTTGAGTAAATTATCAATAAATCGGAGTTTAATGTAAAATATTTACATATATACAGATTTCGTTCTTAGGTTAGTAAAGCTTTCTTTCTTAAAATTAATATAACATATATAAGAATATATCATATAACATATTGTATACAGATTTATGTTACTACTTATTTTTTGGTAGAAAAAATGCTTTCGAGATCCTTTTCTTAAAATTCGTTTATTGTTGATTATCACATTTCGGACTTTGGGGTTCTTTCCAAGCGCGATTGACTTTCGATTCGGACATCCGGCCCAACTTCTGGCATATAAAACGTCCTACTAAAACTAATTTTTCTAGATTGACACCAGTTTCTATACCCATGCCATGGAGCATATAAATAATATCTTCGGTAGCCGCATTACCCGACGCACCGCGCGCATAAGGACAACCACCTAAACCAGAAACGGAAGAATCGACCACAGCAATGCCGTAGTTAAGAGAAGTTAAGACATTAGCCAAAGCTTGGCCGTACGTATCATGAAAGTGAACAGCGAGTTTTTCTGGTGGCACTACGCGCACCACTTCATCTAACATTTTGCTTATAGTTCCGGGTGTGCCAACGCCTATCGTATCCCCTAGGGAAATTTCATAACACCCCATGTCATAAAGAGCCTCCACAACCTTTCTTACTTCCACCGGCTTGATTGGACCTTGATACGGACAACCAACGACGGTTGATACGTAACCACGTACTTTGATATCATTTTTATGAGCAATTTCCAAAACGGGACGGAAACGTTCAATGCTTTCGGCCGCAGTGCAATTGACATTTTTCAATGAGAATGCATCGGATGCCGCTCCGAAAACGGCAATTTCCTTAGCACCAATCTTCATAGCACTTTCCAGGCCTTTTACGTTAGGTGTTAGCACAGGATAGGCAATACCCGGGCATTTTTTTATACCACTATAAACTTCAGCATTATCAGCCATTTGCGGCACCCACTTAGGACTCACGAAACTGGTTACCTCAATGGTTTGTAGGCCCGTTTCTGATAACTGGTCGATAAATGATATTTTCACATCAGCCGGTAATAGTTTTTTTTCATTTTGTAAACCATCCCGCGGTCCGACCTCGACTATACGTACGTGGGACGGTAGTCTTTGCGCCTGCAAGACATCAAACTCAAGAGTATATTGTCATTAAAGTGGATTATATATTTACTTACCGTTGCGTAAGCACGATTTAATGTGTGATTAAAAATTGGTCTTAACATATCCGATAATTAGGATACTTAATGATTTAAATGATTATTTTCACTTTAATTGCAGATCTATGCTGCTCTATAACCCTAATTGATCTTGTAATCAGCTGATTTTTCAAAATAATCAAAGCTATGTACATATATGTACGTAAGCATTTTCTTAAGAAAAGGGTGAGACGTAGGTTCAGTACTTTAACCCACTACGTACACCACTTGTGGTACAGGGTACATATTAATTAATTAGTGCGGTCGTATGTAACAGGCAAAACGGCTTAAGGTAGAGCTACCTTTTATTATATCAATCGATTCAATGTCACAATCTGAATTGATCTAAGCCTGTCTGTCCGTCCGATGTCTGCCCTATCTGTCGTTATATAGAAAGAAATTTGCAATCGAAAAAAATTGTGGGGCCGACGCTTGAGGAAGGGTAAATTTACTTTATTATCAAGAAGATGGAATGCATTCATTGAAAGCAATCAAAACAGGTACAAGTAAATTTCAATTAGCTCCTTCTCTACTGCCGGAAGGATTAAAACGCAAATGACGCAATCGAAATTATCGGTTGAAAACTTTTTGCAGCCAAAATGTTTCGGCAATTAACAACTCCCAAAAAAAAAAAAAAGGGGAAATGCATATAAATTTTTAAAATCTAATTTAACTAAATTTCGATAATCAGATCCTGGTAGCATATGAAATATGATAGAATTTGCCTTGGACATAGCTCAACCTTTATTACTACCAAAGGCTTCTTTGAAGGGATATGAAAGTATGCATGCTATAAAAAATGCCAATAAGTGCATCTAATGTACATTTACTTTTTTTTCAGTTTCCTGCAATTATCTATAAGAGAATAAAAAACCGTAAGTAACAGAAATTATAAGCTTTGAAGTAAGGGTATGATTGGGCAATTTGCTTCACTCTTCGTTTTTGCCATGCATAAGAGTCTGCATCCAATTGCTTAATGTGTAAATATGTCTACGGTTTGAAGTAAGCATTGAGAGTAAATGATTTTTACAATAAATTCCTTTTCAAATGTTTTATTGTAAAGGAACCTTTCATATTTATTTTATTATCATGCTTTTGAAGAATTTTAAATTCGGAGAAGCCTTAGAAGGCAGAACCCTGCATGTACAACATAAAGGACGGATTTTGTCCGTATTTAAGAAAAAAAAAGATCTTGAAACAAAAGTGGAGGGCAGGAAATCCGCCACTATTTGATAAAAACTAAACCTAATTGTAGTAAATGCAATATTCTCTTAAAGCTGTAGTTTAACTTTCCCAAAATCCAATGCGTATTTAATGATTTGGTCCATGTCTTCATAATTTGAGCCGGAGGCTTGAGCTGATTCAGGTTTACCACCGCTTTTTCCATTCATTATCGTTGACACATGTTTTACCCACTCGTTCGCTTTAAGTCCTTTTTCTATAGCGCTTTTCGGCACTGACGCCAAACAAAACACTTTTTTTGAATTTGCATCCACCGATAAAAACATTGCAGCCGTATCCGGATTCAAAACTCGTACTTGTTTAAGGGCAGCATCAAGAGCTTTGGTATTATTGTAAGCTTCGAGCTGTTGTACAATTAGCGATGCATTCGGATTTTCAAGGCACAAAGCTTTCGCTTTCTCTGCGGCAGTTGAAATGACAGCATTTTTTAGCAAACGCTCCTTATCGTCTAAGGCCTTCTTAAGATTTTTTAAAAAATTTCGCATTTCATCTTTTTTAACTTGCGAAATAGTAGCATGAGAAATTTCGTCGCTTAAATCAATTATTCTCTTAATATGATTCTTTAAATGCTCTCCAGTTAGATCTTTGTCAATAGTTTCTTTAACAGCATTAATCTCCTTTTCATATAGCTTTGCTCTGTTCAAGGCTTTAACAGCTTCATTGCCCGTAAGCGCTACAATGCGGCGTATGCCTTTAGCTATACCCTCTTCACTAATAATTACAAAATCAACGATATGACCCGAACGCTTAAGATGAGTTCCACCGCAAAATTCAACAGAAGTGTGCTCGCCATCGTCACCCTTTAGATTTTCCATAAGTTGCTCAACGGTAATACCAAAAGATATTACTCGTACTGGGTCTGGATATACTTCGTCGAAAACCGAACGTAGACCGTTAATAGACTTTGCAGTTGTAAGGGAACATTCTTTAGCATAAATAGGCATATTTTTATATACTATCTCTCGCGCCATTTGCTCAGTTTTAGCAATTTGTTCTGATGTCATTGCAGACTTGCTATTAAAATCGAAACGTAATTTTTCTGGAACCACAAGGGAGCCCTTTTGATCTGTATCCTTGCCTAATACATGAAGGAGGCAATAATTAAGAGCATGTGTAGCTGAATGATTTTTCATTGTCAACGATCTGCGTACTGCGTCGATAAGCAAGTTCAGTGTATCGCCAACAGAAAGTGTGCCTTCGACCGTTCCAATATGTAAGATGTACCCACCTCGATTATAAACGCGATCAACAATAAATTCATTCGCCTCATCATCGATTTTAACTAAAACGCCTTGATCATAAATTTGACCTCCGCTCTCAGCATAGAAATTCGTATTATCTAGTATTAGACCACATTTTTGACCAGAATTTACAGTCTCAACGAATTGGTTTTCATATCTAATAGCTAAAATTACACCCGAACAGGAATCGAAGTGATATTCAGATTCTCGATCATCGGACACACTTTGATATTTGTATTTAAAGGAATCTTTAGTTATTGGGATTTTCCTGTCTTTAAGTTCGGAAATTGCGTGTACATCGAGATTAATGTCTTCTATTTTATTATCACCCTTGCCCTGTGAAAGTATATAAGAATTTTGTTTAGCTACGTCGTAGGCCTTCATATCAATTTCAAGTCCTCTTTCTTCAGCCATTAATTGAGTTAAATCCACTGGAAAGCCGTATGTATCATAAAGACGCCATAGTACATCGCCTGGAAAAATTTTCTCACTTCCAAGTTTTTCAATAGTGCGATTCAATAGATTGCGACCCCTGTTTAACGTTTTTAAAAATTGTACTTCCTCTTCATTAATTATGTCGATAATATTCTGAGGATTCTTCTTTACTTCTGGGAAAGCATCACCCAAAAGTTCAACCACTGTATGCACCAAAGATCCGAAAAAGCCCGGTTTAGCGTTTAATTTCTCAATAGCGTACCTGCAAAAAAAAAACACGCAAATATTTATAAAAGTTAGAAATAATATTTAAAGATCTAAGCACCTTACAGCACGTCGCAAAATGCGTCTCAGAACGTATCCTCGACCTGTATTGTCAGGCGTGCCCCCATCAGCTAGAGCTATCGTCAGGGTTCTCGCATGGTCAGCCAAAACGCGATACGCCATATCAATACCATTAACGTCTTCAACGCCTACTTTACCGTTATATTTAGGGCATCCTGTTCCCGTTTGAATCGCTTCAAATAAAGGTAGAAATATATCCGTGTCATAGTTTGAGCGTTTATTTTGAATAATAGATACCAAACGCTCGAAGCCCATACCGCAATCAATATGCTTTTTAGGAAGAGGCTTTAAACTTCCATCGTGTTCGCGGTTAAACTGAATGAACACTAAATTCCAAATTTCTAGTACATCGGGATCATCTTGATTTACTAATTCCGGAACGCTACGATTACCAATACGATCAAAATGTAGCTCCGAACACGGTCCGCAAGGGCCTGTTTCGCCCATCTCCCAAAAGTTATCTTTCATGTTTCCGGGCAGGACGTGTTCAGCCTTAATTCCCAGATCTAACCAAATGTTTTTGCACTCTAAATCGGGCTGCAGACCGGCAGTCTCATCGCCACCAAAATACGTTACATAGAGCCTATCATGAGGTAGCCCCAGCGTATTTGTTAAAAATTCCCATGCCCAGGTGCATATTTCTTTTTTAAAGTAATCGCCAAACG